GACCTTTTGCTTGCAAGGCAGGCAGCGGCACCACTGAGCTAAATCCCAGCTACATTTCTTTGAGATACTGATTTTATTTCCTTTGGATATGTACCCAAAATTAGGATTGGTGGATCATGCAGCAAGTCTATTTTTAATTTTTAATAAATTTTATTTTATCCTATCCCCCATTACTGTTTTCAATTTATTGGGGACCCTCCACACTGTTGTCCATAAGGGCTGAACCAATATGCATTCCCACCAGCAGTGTGCAAGGGTCCTGTTTTCTCCACATCCTCACCAATACTGAATCTTTTGACTTTTGAGTGTATATAAGCTTCCTAAGAAGGATGGGGTTGCCAAGCAGGTTGGCTCATGTCTGTAATCCCAGCACTTGGGAGGCTGAGGCATGAGGATTGCTGTGAGTTTAAGGCCAGCCTGAACTAAAAGCAAGACCCTGTCTCAAAAAAAAAAAAAGTGTGGGGTGCTCTCTCTGTGATTTTTTTTTTTTAAGTAGAAAAAAATTATTGGAAAGAAAGCTAAGAGAGACAGAAGGAGGTCCATGTGATTTTGGTTTGCACTTGATTAGTGATGTTGAATACCTTTTCTACAGACCTGTTAGGCATTTCAGTGGTCTTTGTAAGAATGTCTCTTCAGATCCTTAGCCTACTTTTTGTTTTGTTATGGTTACTGAGTTAGAGTTCTTACGTATTTTGAATATTAACTCATTATTAGATATATTGTTCCGATAGTCCCTTTCTGTAGGTTACTTTTCATTTCGTTGATTTTGTCCTTGGCTATGCCTCATGCCTGTTAGAATCCTTCATTAGCCTCTTAATTTCCATGATTCTGGGGCTGTGGGCTGGAAAGGACAATGCTACAACATATGATTGAAACATATGGTGAAATTTTTAAAAATTTGTGACGGTAAATGACACATTGCCATTAATACCCCACTCCCCCGTCTTAGAACACACATCTCATCATCCTTGTCATTTTCTGAAGCAGTTCTGGAAGTCGTGTACTTTTTTTTCAGGTTTTTTTTAAGACAGGGGCTCCCTCTAATTCAGGCTGGTCTTGAACTCACTATGTAGCCCAGGGTGACCTTGAGCTCACAGGGATCCTTCTGCCTCAGCCTTTAAAGTGCTGGTATTATAGGCATGCGCCACCACGCCTGGCTTTCTTCTTTTCTGAACGTCTTTAGTTGCACTATTGTGGCTGCCTGAATATCTTTTAAATTGATTGAAAATGTGGATCTTTCCAGGCAGCTGTGGTGGTGCACACCTACCTGTAAGACCAGCCTGAACTACAGGGCAAGACCCTTTCTCAGAAAACAAAACAAAATAAAACACAAAAGTATAATGTTGACCTTTCGTTTTGACTTTGGAGAAGAGCTGAAAGTCACATGGTTTCAAATCCAGTGAATAAGGTAGATGAGGACACACTGTATTGGATGGCAGCAGCATTCACACTATTTTTGTTCACACTTCATAAAGACACTCAGGAAAGAGGACTTCTGGTACTGCTTCAGTAAGTGGCAAGAATGTTGGTATTATAGATACAGGCAGTCAGACAGGGCTGGGCCCTTGGGAGAATCAATACAGAAGTTAGGAATGTATTACCAGTGTGCCTAGAGGCGTAGTCATTGAAGGTCAGGCTCTAAGACAAGAGAAACTACTACACCCACATACTTCCTCCAGGGATGAACAGCAGTAATTGATATTCTGAGTAGGTGTCAATCACCTTGGGTGGGGGACCAAAACCTCCCTAGACCATTTTTGTCCATGTATGCTAGTTTCCCCATTTGATGCTCATTTAATCCATATTACCTAAGCCACTGTACTCGTGATTTTATTGGTTAACCATAGTTTTGTCCCACCTCGTGATTTCCCATTGAATCAACATTATTACCTAAGCAGCTATACTTGTAATCTTATTAATTGACTATAGTTTTATCCCACCATATATCTGCCTCACCTATGCTTTTGCCCTATAAAACTTGAGAATCGGGGTCCATAGCCAACCCACCTTCCAGGTCCTTTTATTTATTTATTTTCCTTCTATCTCTTTTACACAGAAGCTTGCTTTCTCACTTAACCTCCATTGTTCCTAGCATTTATTCTTCCATTTTATTTTGTTTTCGGTTGGGTTTAGTTTGTTTGTTTTTTGAGACAGGGTCTCACTATGTAGTAGAGACTGACCCGGAACTCACTATGTAGCCCAGGCTGGTCTCGAACTCACAGTGATCCTCCTGCCTCAGCCTCCCGAGTGCTGGGATTACAGGCGTGTGCCACCATGCCCGGCTAGCAGTGTGTCTTTTACTGTAAAATTTTTTACATGTAAACATTCACCGTATATTTCAGTTGTATCTTGTAAATCTTTCCCTTTTCCTCATTAATACCCCCTGAAATATGCCATTCCCCCAGAGCTTGGGGGGGGGCAACTCCTATAGCCCCTATTTGAGCTACAGTGGTGGGAAGGGAGCCCTTCCTAGGTAAGGCCTTCTCTCAGTGCTACACATGGAAGTGGTCATAAGTGGGCTGTGTGTAGATGGATTAGACAAGTGATCTGTACAATGCTTTGAGGGAAAACCAGGATGCTACATACTTGTTAGGCTCCAGAACCACGGGCTGTCTTGGGACAGTGTCTTCCCTGGATGTACCTACCAGGCCTGGATGAGGTACTACGGCAAAAGTTGGTCCAGGATTCCCTGGTGTTTCCCAGTGCAGGAAGACCCTGTAGGCTCAAATGCAAGAGTCTGCCCAGAACAGTTGCTTCTGCATGGCTGCTCCTGGCTAGGAATGCTGGTCCCCTTGTCCATTCAAGGGAGCTAATTTCCTCTCCACCCCTAGCTCATCCATTATAGCAAAGTGTTCAACATCTGTGGCCACCAAGACTCAAGAAAGGAGGTACTTAGGTTTCCCAGGCTCCATGTCAGCAGGCCCTGAATTGGCTGAGCAGTGCCAGGGGAAAGGCACAAGAAAGAAACATCCAAGACTGTTCCAGCATTATTCTCTTCCGGTATCAGGCTGGCCTAGGGCCAAAGTCCCTCAGCTGTGTGTTGGTTTCTGGCCTCTCAACTGACATATTTACTCATTAACAAAGAATAGGCTATGCAAACACCACTAAAATGACCTGTCTTCCCCAAGCTGTGGGCCTGGAGACTGAGGTCATTCAGTCAAACTGTTAAGAGTCCTGTGCCAGGGACCAGGCCCTTGTCAAGGATGAGTTAAGCCCTGCCCCTTTGCCATAGCAACTGAAGTAGCTATCCTACTGCCAGACTTCTTGGCTCCTGCCTGTGGGCTGATCCCTGGGGCCCACAAGTCCCCAGGGAGCCTTGCTGTCGCTTTCAGCCTGGCTGTGGTGCAGTGGGTAGTGCTGCCACCTCCTTTGGCCTTCTAGGTATTTTCGCTGCTTATTGATGTCCTAGGAATCTTTCTCCACGTTGGCCGTCCCTGAAGAACTCGTGAAACAAAGACAAGGGGTTTAAAGACCCCCCCCACCAGATGTATGGCTTTTAGGGACCTATTTATGAAGATCCACAGCTATTTCTGGTGGCAAGTGAGGATCAGAAAAACTTTTTAGCAGTTGCTTTTATTTCTCAAGGTTACTAGTTATTACTTAAGTTGTTATTACTGATTTTTAAAGAACGGCTTTCTAACGTTGGTTTTATTCACATATTGTGCAAAATGGGGAAAAGAACAAGTGTCAGAACCATAGAATTATATCTTTAAAATTTCTGTTTGGGGTACCTTTGGGAAAAGGTGACCAAACCTTCCCAATGGGGCCACCGCTTGGCCCTGCCACCTCCTTACCCTACCCTTTCTTCTGCCACCATGACCCTCAGGGCCTTATTCCTGGGCCAGGTTTGTAGGTTGATAGTTGTATTTTGCAAAGTGCTTTCATGCTGTTTAATCCCTTTAGCCCCCTTGGGAGGTCTTTAAAACTCATTGTTCAATTCTTCCAGTAGCTGACTCTGGATTTATTAGGAGGCATTGCAGAATTCCCATTTGTCTATGTCTCCTCAATTTTCTGTGTCAGACTGCGTTTTTACCTTTGCAGCAGCTTGGGTTTCTTAGTCACCTGCCTGGAGATGATTAAGGGTCTGAGCTCCTCTCTGCAATCTCTTTTCTGTGCTAAACACCTTGCTCAAGTAGTGGCCTCAATTTTTCTCTTCAGTCTTTCATCCCTGCTGTCTTAAAAGAAAAAAAGTGAAAATCAGCCCATATTCCATGTTCTACAAAACCAAGTTTTCAGGGGAATAGCCCTCAGAGTTGCCTGCAGGGAATGGTGTCCTCCGTGTCCGTGGCTACATACACGAACTGTTTAGTGGAGCCACACTTGGGATTAAGGTGCAGTGGTATCTGCAGCCCCCTCTCTTACATTTGGTAGGCTCTGTGGCTGACCCCTGCCTCCCTCCCATGTTTGCCCTAGAGCTGTCTTTAAGACATCCCTGTGACTGGCTGGGATTTAGCTCAGTGGTTCTGCCGCCTGCCTCGCAAGCACAAGGACTCGGCTTCGATCCCCAGTACCAAAAAAAAAAAAAAAAAAAAGACATTTCTGTGATGTGACAGGCCATGGAACTCCAGCACTGGGGAAATCTCTGCCAGCCTTTGCAGAAACTGAAAGCCAGTGGAACGTAGTACTGACAAATGATCTTGGGGTTGTGTTTCTTGGGTTCAAATCCAGTACTTGTGTTGTATTGTATTATTAATATGCTATTATTAATGTTAACATGTTATAATTAATCTTATTGCATTATATTATTATATGACGTTGGACACATTTCTTAGCCTTATAGAACCGCAGTTTTCTCACCTGTACTAGATTAATACTAGTTCTCCTTCATGGGGTGGTTGTGAAGGTTAAATGAGAACAGGCATGTCAAGGCATTGGGATTGTGCGTGATACTCATTAAAGCTGAAAATAGGACAACTTATTAATAGCCCGTGGGAACACTGTTCGGTCTCAGGAATCCTGGGTCTGAGAGTATCTAACCATCTATTGCATTCTCTGCTCAGGGTATCAAAAAACCATTCACTGAGGTCATTCGAGCCAACATTGGGGATGCCCAGGCCATGGGCCAGCAGCCAATCACCTTTCTCCGACAGGTAAGCGAGCCCTTGGGAGCAGAGACGGCTGAGAAAGCAGGGGAGGGTGGAGGGTTGGTGGGTGGGAGGAGGCAACGTGGGTTTGTGGGGCAGCCTCTAGCTCCTCGTCCAGCCCCACTGGGACACAGCAGACACCAGAGTCTCTCAAGGACGTGCCTTTGCAGTAGCAGCCCCTTCATACCTGAAATTCCTTGGTTCTGTCCCTTAGCTCCTCTCTTTCCAAGGCTGTCAAAATTCCTAAGCCTCTGTGCTCGGTAGTACGTGCCTGTCATCCCAGCTGTCAGGAAATTGAAGCAGGAGGATGGAATGTTCAAGGGCAGCCTGGGCAATTTAGTTAAACTCTGTTTCAAAGTAAAAGAGATAGATGGATGGATGGATAGATAGATGGATGGATGGATAGCGAACAAACTGGGAGCAGTGTGGCTCGATAGAAGAGTACTTGCCTAGGTTCACATGCTTGAGGCCCTGGGTTCAATCCCCAGCACTGCAGACAAAACAAAAAAATCACACATATCTCAACCTATTTAAAGGTTGGTCTGGTTTAGGAAACTCCCAGAAAGGCTCTCAGTGCACGATCCTGGATGCTAAGTTAGGAGCTTGGTTGACAAAGGTGTCTTTTTGTTTGTTTGTTTGTTGTGGTTTCTTGTTGTTGGTTTTTTTTTTTTAACTGGGATCGAACTTGGGACCTTGCGCTTGCAAGCAGGTGGCAGAACCACTGAGCTAAATCCCCAGCCCCAACAAAGATGTCATTTAGGTAGGCAGTAGCTGGGAAGAGAGCTAAGCTCGGCGGACTGGAAGGTGGTGAGTGTGATACCCTGTGTTTGAGGGTAGCCTTGGTGAGATGATGCCTCCTTCCAGTCCAGCAGGAAAGTGCAGGCTGTGACTCCACTGTCTCCTACTGCACTCCTGGCTACCTCTACTGTGACCCAGGTTACTCGTAAGGGCTGTGTGAGGAGGTGGGTGTCAGTCTAAGCACCAACTATTAAGTAGGCTGCACTGGCCAAAATTGTGACATTGGTGGGCCACAGAGAATCAAGAGGACACCACAGGGCAACCTGAGCAGAGGCGGGAGACGTGGGTGCAGACAACTTTCTCTGTGAGCAGGAATAATCATTGTGGGTGGTTAAGGTTCTCAAGCTGGGACAGGCGCGGAGGTTGAGCTTTGGTGCAAAAGAGGAGCAAGCCTGCTCTTTGGGACAGAGGCTGTTGGGGGCTGGAAGGCCCCTCCATGGGCCCTGTGAGAAGGAACCAGTCTGAGGAATGTCATAGCTATGCTGTTGACTCTGAGAATGCCCGCTGCATGTAGATATCAGAGCCCCAGCTGGACCCAGGATGGAGAAGTGGATCCAACCAGTGAAGAAAGTAAACAGTGGCTGTGTCAAAGTGCAGGCAGCGGGAGGGCAGAAGGCTGTGATTGTCATGGAAGCACGGATTTTGGAAAGAAGGAGCCAAACGCAGCCTCTTGGCTCCAAAACCACACTTTACTGGCCATCAAGATACATCCTCAGACCCAGCCCCAACACTGCCCTGGGCCATAGGAGGCTCAACCTTCTGCACAGTGCTGGCTACCTACAGCCCTCAGGCATCTCCTCTGGTCTTCACAAGAGCCCTGGGCAGAGGGCAGGCCATGTCCCTGCCCATGGTGCGGAGAGAGAGCCTGTCTCAATAAGCTAGGGTGTCAGTGCCCTGAGTGCCCTCACTTAGCTGCCAGGCTGCCCGCTGAGACTCGCCTGGCATGCTGGTGTTTACCCACACTGGCACGTGTGTCTGTGTTCTTACTTTGTGAGGTTCAGACGATTTTTTGTTACAGAGCTGAGAAAGCTTTCTTGGTTTTCAGATGCCAGGGAAAGCGGTGATGAGGAGGTGTGGGAAGAAGCTCAGGCCGTGGGTATGAAGGGGGCCCTGCAGCCCTGCTCTGGTCAGCAGGACTTCACCTGCCCACCCAGTCATGGTTCCTTGCTCAGGAGACCCAGTTATGACTTCAGCTGTGTGAGCCCCCTGTCCTAATTGTGGGCAAGCCGAAGCCAGGCCTTTGAGGCAGCCTCTGCTCCTTGGCTGTCCTCTGGCAGCTTGTGCTTGTGTCCCAAATCCAGGTCATGATGCACTATGGCTCTCTGCATCTCCCTGCTGCCACAGGGCCTAGTGGCCTCCCACAGGCTGAGCCCACAAGGACAGACCCACTGTAGCACTGGGGAGTTGTCACCTTCCCAGCCACCCCATGGCCTAGGGCTCTGGGATTAGGGGTGCTGGGAGCTCACCCTGCACGCTTGTTCCCTAGGTGATGGCCCTCTGCACCTACCCAAACCTGTTGGACAGCCCCAGCTTCCCAGAAGATGCTAAGAAAAGAGCCCGGCGGATTCTACAGGCTTGTGGTGGAAACAGCCTAGGTGAGGCCCAACTTTCCAGGTCCCCAAGGCCATGGAATGAGTGGACGTGTGTTGCCAGTGTGGGCCTGGATCCCTGGGCCTGACCGAAGAGTAGTACACAGCTGTGTGTGGCGTGTGAGAACATGTGTGGGGTGGAGTGCAGAAAAGCAGTGTTTCTCTTCTCCATGCTGAGTTAGCCCTCTCATTTGTTAAATTGCTGGCATAGATGCCAGCCTGTGGTAGAGTGTGGCACTTAGGGGCATGTGCCTGCTCCCTCCTGGGTTTGGGCTGCAGAGCTGCTCCGGCTGTGCCTTTCTGTAGTCACCGGCCTTAGCACCGGGAGGCTGAGTGGGAAGGCAGTGCCCAGCTGTGCTCTGTGCCCAGCCTCGTGCCGCCCCCAGCCACAGAGAGGTGAGTGCCAAGTGCTGGGGAAGGGAAGTGCTCGGAGACCCGCCCCAGGCCTCTTCTGGGGCTTCCTTCCGTCTGACTGCCCTTTACTGTCCGTTTCATGATGTTCTGTCACCCCAGCCTTTCCTCTCCAAGCCCAGCCGGCTGCCTCCTGAATGGAAATCAGGTACCAGGAGAGGGCTTCACAGAAGGAGGTCCTGGAATTTGGCCCCTGTAGATATGAAAATGACATGTTCTCTCCCTCCCTGCTGAGATGGAGTTCTAGCCTCTGGGCCTCTGACCTTTTATTCTTATCTCATTTTCTTTGCTTTTTTTCCCCCATTCTTTCTCCCAGTATCTACCCAGGGAATCTGGCCTCCCTTGTTGTAAAGAAACCAGTTGTTTGTCTTTTAGGACATGTGCCTTAATGGTCTGAAATGTGAAACTAGGAGTTAGGGATTTCCGTGACTTCTTCCTGGGGATCAGCCTTGCCTCTCCCCGTACTCTTTCTGGCTCTGTCCCTTATTGAGTTCTGTGCTTTCTTTCCTGGCTGTGGTTATTCTACCAGCCCTTGCTTCCCTGCCTACCAACCTGGATGAGGTGAGGCACAGGCTCCTCTTTCTCCTGCCTTCTCTGCCCAGCCTAGTGACCAGGGTGTTTCTTGAAGACCTGGTGGGCATGCTGCTGAGGCTCCTGGAAGCCCCAGGAAGAGGTGGGGAAGAAGAAGTTGCTTTCTGTGCCTCTGGTGTGAATGTGCGGGTGTGGGGGAAGGGATCTTTGTTCCACTGGGCTGAGCCTGTCCAGTTTTTTGCAACTCTTGTCAGCCAAAGCTGGGATGGGATGGGGAGACTGTGTCTGTGGGGATCTCTTCTTGGAGTAGTACAGCAAACCAGTTGAGGGTTTTTGTGAGCCAGAGTTCTGTCCTAGGAACTCATGAACAGAGACAAGGGAAGTACACGCTCACCCTCATGCCCCAGTCCTTAAGCAAAGAAGTGCTTATCTTCACCTTCTGGGCTTGCAAGGAAGGTTGACGTGTGTACCAAGCCCTTGTTAGGTTGGAGAAGCCTGTTCCTCTCGGCACCAGCAGACCCTGCCCATGCAGGGGGCAGGCAGTGTGGTCCATGCTGTGACAGGAACACAGAAGTGTTGTTCTCTGTTAACTAAGCCTTGGGCGGCCTAAGTACTTCGCTGCCTATAGAAATAAAAGAAAGTAGAACTACCCTGACCCACATGGGAATTGCTGAATATGTGCACAGACTTGAAGCTCACCAGGATGTTTTTATCATGCCCTTTTAAATGATTTCTTATTAGGGCTTTATTTATTGTCAGTTGGACAAGTAATTCAGTTTTTAGGCTGTGTTCTGGATCTTAAGTAGGATTAAGGTCAAGACCTAGCACCCTCCTGCCTGGGCATGGTAGGATCTCTGTGCCTTTATCCAGCCCTTTCCTGAGGGTACACCATGAACCACGTGCTGTTCCAGATACAGAGAGACACTGGTGAAAAAGGCAGGTGGGGTTTCTGTGCTCGTGAAGCTATTGTTAGATTTGCAGGAAACAGACAGTTCAAATAAATATGTAATTCTCAGCTCTCATTAACTTACTGGAGAAGAGACAGCTGTAGGAATATATCAAGGGATTCTAATGTCAAGAGCTTAAAAGGAGAAAGCATTCATACTCATATGGATGACAATGTACAGAAGGAACCGTGCATGCAAAGGCCCTAAGGTTTAGAAACAGTGTGATCCGGTGACATGTTCTGTAAGTAGCATTATTGAGGGCAGCTGGGTAGTTTGGCAGTGATGATGCTGCCAGTGTGGTTCTCATGCAGGGGGGTGAGCCCTCAGGAGGGTGTGATGGGATTAGGCCCAGTGTTAGGCGAGGTGCCTAGGAGAGACTCATAAAAAACAGGTAACAGTCCTTCCCTCAGGGAACATGGGAAGGTAGGGCTTCTATATAAAATAATTAGAGAAATGCCAACCCAGGAAAAAGGCTGGGAATGGAGCAGAAACTTTTGGGCAGAACTCCTGGAGACAGACTAGAAATGAGCCCCGAAGGACCAGCATGGTGTGATTTGGAGCAGCAGAAGACCTGAAGGGAAAAGAAGAACGAAATCACTAGAGCCTCCCACAAAGGGTGGAAGGCCTGCTAAAGCAGAGAGCTTACCATTCGTGATGCCTTGGGGAATCCAAGGGCGCAGCGGGGCTGAGGGGTGGGAAAAGGGAGGCACCTGGCTGGTGTAGAGTGAAAGGGGACAGTGAAAGCAGGCAAAGGGAAGGAGGGAGCCCTGGAAGGTCTCGGGGCACAGGAGCTCAGAATTTTTAGTGAGCTACCTAGTGGGGGAGGAGTTCTCAGTGTTAGTATACATATACTCCCTTTTTAGTTTGCGAATATTTCAGATTTTTGGAATACCCGAAGTCTCTACTCACCAGCCAGAGGTGAAACATGTTTATATTTGCTACTTGGCATCTTCGTATGGCCTTGGGAGGTGCAGCCCCCTCGTTTCACATGGGGTGAAGCTGGTCAGATGGGAAGAGCTGAGCCCGAGGCTGAGGCAGAGTCAGAGCCAGCACTCCTGCATCCTACAGAACTTCAGGGTACGAGGCCTGGGTGAATGTGCTGAGATTCCAGAAAAGAATCTGCTGCTTCCTGAGCCCCACCCGCCTCTGGTGATGGTTTTGCAGTAGTCATACGTACAAGGATTCCTTTTAAATAAAAAATGGAAAAGTGTGTGTGTGTGTGTGTGTAAAACAAAAAATCTACCTCCCAACTCTACCCTAGCATCCTGGTGTACTTAGAAACTCAGCTCCACAGTGGAGTCTTGTTTCAGAGATATTTTGTGTATATTGGCAAATTCACTGTTTTTGTTTGTGTGTTTTGTTTTGGTACTGGGGATTGAATTTGGGATCTTGGTGCTTGCAAGACAGGTGGCAGAACTACTGAGCTAAATCCCCAACCCTTGCAAATGCATTGTTTCCAACCTCTTTTTTAAAAGTGGCCTGGGGTTAAAAAAGAAAACCAAAAAACTGTTGTAGTGGGGATGTGACTCAGTGAATAGAGTGCCTGGTCAGTGATGGCAGATCTTTTAGAGCTTTTAATGATACAAACAGCCTGTTGCAACATGTGTACCATAGGGTTACCGCCATTAACCTAGCATGTGTGAGGCCTTGGATTCAATCCCAGCACTGCATACAAAATAAAACTTACATGGAGCTGTAACAAATATACAGTATAATGTACATCCTGAATAGATAAATAGTATTTTACATACACACACACCACTGGAGCTCCCCACCAGATTAAGCACCTCAGAGGGCCCCTGGGTGCTCCTGTACAGTCAGAGTCTCTGCCCGTCAGGTAGTTACCACTGTTCTTACTTTCACTGCCATTAGTTAGTTTTGCCTGGTTTTAAATTTCATATAGACAGCAGCCTGCATTTTAATCCTAAATGGTAGCAGTCTGAGGATATTCTTGGCCTGGGTGGCACGGAGGAGCAGGACTGACTGCCCCATGGATCTGTGGTTGGTGCTGGTCTATGGAACCGTTTGCAGGCAACTGAACAGAAGCATAGGAATCCCAGATCTACGTCCCAGGAGTGCTGGTAGGACAAGTATGGGCACTGTTTGACTCATTAGAAACCGGGGTCTACAGTGATGCTTAGAATAGAATAGGGACACAGTCAATGTTAGGTGGATGGATGCATGGAAGCAAGGATAGGGTCAACGGAGCACAGATAAGTGGTTAAGCACCTTGCCACAGTTACAAGGCGTAAAAGTTAGGAGTTGGCCACCTGCCTCGCAAGTGCAAGGACACCAGTTTGAGCCCCAGTACAAAAAGAAAAGAAAAATTAGGAGTCGGCCCCACCTGAGACCTCTTCCCAGTTAATTATGCAAATGTTACACTGTTTCTGTGGAGCCAGGCATTCTGTCTCTACTTGTTATCTTGCCTGCTATCTTACAGGATCATACAGTGCCAGCCAAGGTGTCAACTGCATCCGTGAAGATGTGGCTGCCTACATCACCAGGAGAGATGGCGGCGTGCCTGCCGACCCAGACAATATTTATCTGACCACTGGAGCTAGTGATGGCATTTCTGTACGTGTGAGGTTGGCTTGTTCCTATTCAGTGTTCACCCACATGAAGAACAGCCTTGCCTGTTAGTCTGTGGTGACAGGTCACCCTCTGGGCCCTCTGTCCCGGTGGCATGCAGTCCTCGCCTCTTTTACTCTTCCAAGCTCTGGACATTACTGTGGCCTCAGTCTCCCTGCAGAGTCCCCACCAGCAGGCCTAGCTGGAGAGAAGCCATGGAGCACACTAGGGTGCCTGCTGGCCTTATTGTTACTCAGCACGTACTGGTGTCCCCATCCACCAGGAACTGTACCTCGTACTGGAGAAGCCAAGCACACCATTTGGCCTCGGGTTCACACCTGCCTTGGCATATAAAAGTCAGAGCAGCAGTTTTTAGTTTCTTGCCCACAGTGCAAAGGACAAAGTGATGTGGGAGCCAGCAGCAGGGACACTGAGCTGGTAGGATGGCGTCGAGAAGGCAGAAAGGTGGACGGGAGTGAGCCAGGCAGGCCAGTAAGGGATGATGTCTGACCCAGAGGGCACTGTGGAGCTGGGAGGAGGCTCCTGCTTGGCGGTGGAGTCAGGGTGCGGGGCAGACAGGCAGATGACCGCAGGCCCTTGAAGCCACAGAAGGATGTAAGCAGGAAAGGGTGTGAAGCACACTCAGTACTCTTCAACTTCGGCTGTGGCTGGGAGGAGCCTCATGGATGTGAGGCTCACTTAGGTGAGAGAAGAGATGACTCGGGCTTGGGTCAGCCATGGATGATGACTGGGCTGGAGGAGTCAAATCCTGTGCTTAGGGGATCAACAGGCTTTTTGAGGTGATAGGGCTGAAGCTCAGTGTCCCCCGATGCTAGGTGAGCTCTCCCTCTGTCCCTTTAAGGCCTCCCTCCAGGGCCTGGCCAGTGCTAGGTGCAGTTAACTCATTTGTGCTCCCTATTCAGGGAGTGGTGTGCTGCCCTACAGTTCCTTGTTACTGGGGCTGCCTTTATCTCCTAGATTCAGGGCTCTTGTTTCTGATGTGTGTTGAGTGCTTTATTCCTTTCCCAAAGCATCTCAAATCATTAAATTCTTGCTGGAGGAGCCCTTGAGGAAACAGGCCCAGAGACATTACATGGTGCCTGCTTTGAACCATTTCTTGTGACATCTGGGATTTTGATATTACAACTTCAATCCCCAACCTCAGCATCTTCCACTGTTTGCTGTTCGCAAAAACATTCCATTCCCTTTCCATTCCCAGAAACGCCGGGTGCTGGCAGAAGACCTGAAGGAGGGTAGGGAGTGCCCAGGAGACTGAATGGAAAGAATACAGTCATTGCTCTTTTCATTCATACTTGGAGCAAGGAACTGCTCCTGAGAAAGGACCTACACTGCATTAGGTGGAGAGTCTCCTTGGAAGGGGATTGGCTTGGTAATTCAATGAATTACTGTTTCCTAACCCAACACCCCACTGGATTCCTGTGGCCTGGTTTCTCAGGCATCCGGGAAATGTGCAGCCTGCTCAACCTTTCAAGCAGGTTGAAGCGCCATCTGGTGGTAGTGAGTGGGTATTTCATTTCAGCAGTCGTTTGAGGGTCTCTAGCCATTGGCACCTGATGCTTATAGTGAGACAGATTCTAAATCTGAGTCCCAAGGGTGAGGTCATAATTCTGAGACAGGGCTAGTTTGGAGATGAATGTTTCCTAAGTATTAAAAATACTAATAAGGCTGGGCATGGTTGTACAAGACTTTGATCCCAGCTACTCAGGAGTCTGAGGAGGATCAAGTTCAAGGCTAGGATGGGCAATTTAGTAAGATTTTTTTGTCTCAAAATAAGAAAAAAATGTAGTTCAGCTGTGAGGCCTTGGGTTCAATCCCCAGTGCCTCAAAATAAAAGGGGCTGGGATTATAGCTCAGAATTCCCTAGGTTCAGTCCCCACAAAACAAAACAAAAAGCTTAAGAATCAAGTCTGTGTGTACCTGCCATACACGGTACACTGTGCCAAGTCCTTTAAAGCATTGCATCTCACTTCTTCCAGCAGCCGTGGTTTTATGGGTGAGGGAATGCTGTCTTACTTGGGTTACACTGGTAGGAGGCCCTGGGGTCAGGGTGAAAGGCTGCTCATCGGCTCCTAAAGAGTGGGGAGTGGCAGGGACCTTCTGACTGAGTGTTTGGTTGCAGACAATCCTGAAGATCCTTGTCTCCGGGGGTGGCAAGTCTCGGACAGGCGTGATGATCCCCATCCCACAGTACCCCCTCTACTCGGCAGTCATCTCGGAGCTCGATGCCATCCAGGTGAATTACTACCTGGATGAGGAGAACTGCTGGGCCCTGAACGTCAATGAACTCCGGCGGGCTGTGCAAGAGGCCAAAGACCACTGTGACCCCAAGGTGCTCTGCATCATCAACCCAGGGAACCCCACAGGTCTGCATCCCTTCTCCACACATTTCTAGGCACGTGGGGCTGTGTTTGATGTTAACACAGTAAAGAGTTAAGAAATAATGAGAAACCCTCTCTGCACCCAGTTTCCCACGCCAGTTCCAGCTTTGCTAACAGAACTGAGAGATTTGTCTCAGGAGGCAGCATATGCAGGTGTTTTCTTGGGTAGGGTTCTATTAAAAGTCGGTTTTTCTCTCCCATTTTTGCATGTGTGGAGACTCACCTCCTTGAAATTATTCATGCACGAATTCTCACCACTGATCCTAGACCTTATTTTCACTCCCACTTTTTTTCCTGAACCAGTTTTCAGAATGCTGGTATGTGCTTTTTTTTTTGACATAGCTTTGCTGTGTACCTTGAGGCCTGAGAAAGAAATGCCATGTTGAAAATGAAAGCAAACCTGAAAACAAAAGGCCCATTTCCAGAAATTGAAACGCACCCCCGATTTTGCATATTTTCCTTTTCAAAAAGTACACAGTCCTGCCTGTTTTGATCTTTCTGGGCTGCTGGCTTCATATGCCCCATGCTATTCGGATGTAGAGAACAAGGGCTCCTCTCTCCTCTTTTGTTGAGATAAATTGAGCCTGGTCCAAAATGCGTTGGAGTTGATTGTGGAATCTGCTCTGGAACATCAAATGATGCCTCAATCAGCTGAAAGCACCGCTTGAATTCCTGAGTGCAGAAAATGGGTGCAGCTGGCAGTCACTGCCGTATTTAGCCCAGCGCCTTAGGGGAAGAGATGAAGTCTAACCAGGATGCAGCAGGGAAATGACAAGAGAACTGGGTTCCAAATTCAGTGTATATTAGAATCACAAAGGGAGCTTTGAAAAAACTCTGAAAGGCCCCGTCATACCTCAGACTCTGGGGTCTGAGGCCCAGGCATCAATAAATAGCACAGCTGATGAAAACGACTTCCTTAGGCCAGTAGTTCTCAAACTGTAGCTGGTTAAAATGCAGATTTTGGGTCCCGCTCACGCATATTCTGATGTAATTAGACTGGGTAAGGCTTGAGGATTTGCATTTCTAGTAAGCTTTCAGGTGATACTTTGCTGGTCCCAGGACCACGTTTGCTGATCCTGCAATACATTAGATGTATACCTCATCTATTTGAGTTGGCCCTTTCCTGGCCAGGTCTTTGCATAAATCTTTTCCCCTACCTGTCTGGGAAGAAATAACTGCACCAGGGACTTTCTTGTTCTAAGTAAAGGGGTCATGTGAATGAATTAATGTAAGTAGTTTGTATAAACTACTTTTTTTCTTGGTACGGGGATCAAACTCGGGACCATGCTTGCAAGGCCCGTGTGGTGCCACTAAGCTAAATCCCCAGCCCTATAAAGGATAATTTTGTCAATGGAAACAATCTGGTATTGCTCTTGAGGCTTTAATTAGTCAACTATTAGAAAAGGTTCAGTTGAACCTGGGAACCCACCTGTGGTGACCATATATCTTGTCTAGACCACACTCTTTGATCAGTTTGGCTAAAAAAAATATCAAAAGTGCCTGGAGTACTAAGCCAGGGCTCTTTTGATTTCAAGACAGAAACCTAACTCAAGAATCAGGGGGTTGGATCATGGCACTGTGAAGTCCAGGCAGGGGTCAAAGCAGTACACCTGAACCAGTACTGTTTTGTTGTGTTTCCTGTACCGGAAATCGAACGCAGGACCTTATGCTTGCCAGGCAGGCACAGCTCCATTGAGCTAAAGTCCCAGCTCTTGAACCAGTACTGTTATCAGAAGAACCTCAATGCATTTCTCAGCTGTGCTGTCCTCTGTGCTGGATGCCTTCTCAGGAAGGAGCTGTCTTTGGGTTGACCTTGATTGGCTCCAGCCATTGCCTACTAGCTCAACATTAGAGGGGAGTTTCTCCCATAGGTTAGTGAAAAGTCCCACACCAGACTTTCATTGGCCCACATTGGGTCACCTACCTATGCCTAAACCAGTCACTACAACTGTGATTGGCCAGGTCTGTGCCAGTGCTCCCTGCTAGAGTTTTCCATATTGCAGCTGTGATCTGTTACTCAAAAAAGCAAAGGATGCTTAGCAGGCACAAGCCACACATATTCCCACCAGTCCACGAGAAATTCCTTTGGCCTAGACTGACGATGGGTACTTAGGAGCCCTCTCTAGCCTTTGATGGCCTGTATCAAAACCAAGTCTCCTATCTCCTAGCCCCAGTAAGTCCATATGTGACTTTCCCTTCTCCTCTACCACTGTTGATGTGTTTGGCCCCTTCAGTGGCTCAGCAAGTGTGTCCTAACTGTCTGCTTTCCCTTGGGCACTGGAGAGGTAAAACCTTTGTCCTTGTCCTCAAGTTTGAATTATGTGAATCAGTAGAATTATTTGCATCCATTGGATCTCATTTCCACTAGCTCTGATCCTTTCTCAGTTTCTCTTCATGTTACCCTTAACATTTAGTGAATGTGATTTTACAAATTCTGGTGTTCATGACCTTGCTTGTATTCTAACAGGGCACAGTTATGGTATGACAGGTATAACAGGCAAGATGAGGAGGGTTTTCAAGCAAATTCTGCCCCTGAGGCTGCCAGTTTCTGTCTATCTGTGAGAACAGTGCTGGGTTCTTTTGGAAACTAGAGGCTCTTGGAATCCCTTTGCACTGAGCTTGCTTCTTAGGAAGTCTAGTTGGTAAGAGAAAAGTCAGTTCCTTAACAAAGAAATTGGGTTAAGCCAGGCACAGTGGCATATGCCTATAGTCGCAGCACTCTGGAAAGGTGAGGCAAAAGGATTGCAAGTTTGAGTCCTATCTAGGGAACTTTGTAAAACCTTGGCTCAAAAGTAAAAATAAAAATATAGTTCAGTGCAATAAAATATATTTCGGTGTTCAGTACCCAATACTAAAAAAAAAAAAAAGGCAAAACAAAGAAATTGGTTCATTGGTTAGATAGTTCAAGGTAGAAATCCTGGCTGAACCATACCATGCTTTTAAAAGATGTATGCATCTCTTTTTCCCCCCACGTTTTTACATAGACAAGAATGTAGGCATTTTAATTTTTTTTTTACAAAAACATTCTGGGTACTGCTTTGTATAAGATACATACAGGTGTATGTATACACATATGTACGTAAACTTAGATACACGTGTGCATAAAGAAACATGGCTTTTTGTTTTTAAGAAATCAGCAAGTTGTAGTTATAGTGGTACTTTTCTGGAGGACATTGTGAGGGCATCAGATACTCCTGGTGCCACACTCAAAGTATGTCTCAGATACTGGTCCCATCTCTACCTTATTGTTACTTTTGCTCCTTTACCAACCTGTCCTGGGACATTTCCTGGGAGCTGCTGGGGTTACTGTCTTGCTCTTTGCACTCATTTCTCTAAAATGGTTGGTGGATGTTTTCCCTGTTTTTCTTACAACTGCAAGGTGTTTATCATAATGGTGTTTTAGTGATGCCTCGCTCTCCAGGAGTAGCTGACAGGAGATACCAAAGCTGTTGCCCAGGATCATGCATTTAATAGTGTCCTGCAAATATTTATTGAATCCCTGCTGAGTGCCAGCTTTGCGGATAGATGGTGAGCCAGGATAGACCCTGTCCCTGCCTCTTGGGGATTATGTGTTCCTCTCTGGGGAGAAGGTGTTTCCACAAGTTGAAAACCCTCAGTTTTGCTGCAGTAACTCTAGCCCAATTACCATATCAGCCAATGCAGTTCTCTCCATTGTTTGCTGCTGGTACAGAGTAAGGTGAAAATGGGGTGAGCTAATAGATTCAACTCCGTCAAGTTCATTTTCCTCCACTTCATGGCACTTCCATGCCTTCCTGTCCTCCAGAACAGACAGACAAGTCCCATACATGCACCCTCCACTCACAAGAATAGGAAGAAAGTAGGTGCGAGACAGTACTCTCCCACATCCCTGGCTTCGGTGAGTCAGCTAGAGTGGACTGACCCTCCAGACATCCCTGGAGGTTGGCTACACCATCGTGCATTGCAGGTAGTAGTGTGGTCTCTTGGGATCATAAGGGAACTTAGGACACCCGAGTGATTCTGGGTGGGACTCTGACCTGGGAACAACTGAAACAACATTACAACCTACATTTTGGTTTTCTTGGGGATTTTGTAGGCCAGGTACAAAGCAGAAAGTGCATAGAAGATGTGATTCACTTTGCCTGGGAAGAGAAGCTCTTTCTCCTGGCTGATGAGGTAAGAGTAGTCCCAGCTTCCCCCTCAGAGAAGGGTGGAGTTGAGCTTTCTTTTTTAGGGGAGGGATCCAGGCCTGATTGTTCTGCAGCCAGAGAGATCTTTCTTCTAGGTATTAGAGGAGTGCTTCTGTCTAAGGATGAATGAATATGATCAGTTGTACTACCTGTGAATCTCTGACCTAAATTGTTCTTGTATTGGTTTGGACTAAATTGTATTGGTTTGGAGTCATACATTTTTAGAAATTTAACCCAAAATTTTAAACTTGAAAAGAAAAGAAAAAATGGTGAGTGTGAAGCCATATCCAATGACTCAAACTATATCTTTCAAATTCTCTTTCTCCTTTCCATCCCTCAGTGTTGTCCTCATACTTGTAGGCTTGTTGTCTTCCCAGCCTAGAAAGTATGTTTGTCACCCTAATAGTTTTATCAAAAGTCTCAGGATTGCCAGGAATGGTGGTGCACACCTATAATCCTAGTACACGGGAGGCTGAGACAGGAGGATTGCTATGAGTTCGAGACCAGCCTGGGCTACATAGTGAATTACAGGTCAGTCTCAACTACATAGTGAGACCCTGTCTCAAAAAACCAAAAAGAAAAATAAAGTCTCAGGATGATACCTCATTGGTTCATCCTAGGCCACAGCCCCATTGCTGAACCAGTGGCCTATAAGTTACAGTGTGCAAATCAGTGTGGGCTTTCTGCCTGTTTTCTCCCAACCCTCCAGAAAGACAGCTGGGGAGAGGAGCATTTCCTGAAGACAAATTGAAGAACTCTTTGGTGGGGGGGCATATGGAGGATCAAACTCAGGACCTTGCGCTTGCCAGGCAGGTGCTGTGCTACTGAGCTAACTCCCCAGCCCAAAGGACTCTTAACTTAAGAAGAGAGACTGGATGCAAGTATGGCAGAAAAATGACTGATGTCCATTCCTCAAAAAGCTGCAACTCTGTGCCTTGTGTACTTCCATATCTCCTGTCTCATTTAACAGCCCATGAGACGGGGATCCTAACCTGGTATCTGTTGCCTTCTGAATGCCATTTCTGAGGTTGAGGGCTGCTTGTTCTTTTTCTGTTTTGCAAGAAGAAATCGATGAGTCTTTCAATTCCACTTTCATCTTCATTTCTGCATTGTTTCTGATTAGTTGTAGCTTCTAACATACTACTGTACTTTTATTTCTTTGCTCCATAGCATCCCCAAGTCACCATGACACACACACACGTGCACACACACGCAGAGCTTACCCACCAGTTTGTTCCATAATTAATAATAGATGGGCTTGAAATCTTCATTTCTAAAGAAAGGAGCAACAGAGAGACCCATAGTTTTCCTTGTGACTTGTGCCTTAACCACCCCTGACCCTGGGGTCTGGGAGGAAGAGGAGGAGTGGGGCGATGCCTGGATTATTGCAGAGGGAACCTGACTGACCCCTAGGCTCCAAAAAGCCACTCTGATCTTCAAAATGGGTGTGTGAAAGGGCAGAGTAGGGTGCTTGGGGGTTGTGAATGCCAGACTCTTGAGGATACAGAGGCACAGAATGGGTATGGTGCTTCTCGGGCAGTGAAAAGTGAAGAGAAGAAGAGAATAATTTAAAACCTGATAAGTGTTGGAAAGGAAATGCAACAGAGTTAACTCCTCAAAGAGGGAAGGCAGAGAATGGGTGCGTTAACTGCTATCATTATTAATGTTACTAAAGGGCGTCGACATTGTGTTTTAAGAGGAAAACTTGTTGGGAAGATGGGAATCCGTGGCATCACCACTGGCCTGATGGAGGTAGAAAGGAACCTGGAGACTGGGTGGGGATGAGTGTGGGAGAAGTCAGGTGAGCTCAGCATCCGTCCTGAGGCCTTTCCCCTCCTCCTCGGGGAGGCTCTGTGAAGCATGTTCCAGCCCATCCCTGGAGGTGGACAGGAGGCTGGGCTGACTGGGCTCTTCAGAGCAGGACCTCAGACCAGCCTGATGGAGGTGAACCCTGAGCACCTGTACTGTGTCTCCTCTAGCTCTGCCCCTTAGCAGCACCTTCCTGGGCTCAGGCCTCTCGGAAGGTCTTGGAGTGACTGTCCCCGTCAATCCTCCCCCACAGGTATACCAGGACAACGTGTACTCTCCAGACTGCAGATTCCACTCCTTTAAGAAGGTGCTTTACGAGATGGGACCTGAGTATTCCAACAATGTGGAACTTGCCTCCTTCCACTCTACCTCCAAGGGCTACATGGGCGAGTAAGTTGGGCTCCACCTCCCTCCCACTGTTCCTGAGGCTGCCCGGGATCGGTGCTGCCGTGTCTTCTCTGCCTGCTCCTCTGCCATGCGGTCCATCCACTCAGATGCCGAACAGGTGTCCCTTATCTACTGCTGTTGCTGATCTGGGAATTGGGAGGAAGCAGGCTGAGTGGAGGGAGAACTGTCACATAGCATAAGGCTAAGCTGGAGGAAACCAGACTAAGTAAATGACAGAAAAGAAAACAGGATCCTACAGCAGCTTCTAGCGCTGAGTATTTTCTGCCATCCCTGTCACTGTTGCTCCAAGATTGACCAAAACCTGAGGGGCCAGGGGGACGGGAAGAGCGCAGAAATGCCATTAGGCCGACAGGCTCAGTGTATGTGCAAGGCTGCCTTAGCCCCTTGAGGGCCAGAAGTTCAGCTTGGACCCTATGTTTGCTCGTGTGGCACTTACGGAATTGAGCTCTGAGGATACAGTGATCAAACCATACCAGCCCCTGCCTTCACGGGGCCTGTGTTCCAGTGAAGATGGAGGCAACAGACAAAAGAGTAAAGTCAGGTTGCGGGTGGGAGGGAAAGGCCAAGGATGAGGTTGGAGTGCCGGTGTGGGTTAGGGTCACACAGCCTTACAGAGAGCAGCCTCTGAGAAGCTGGCTTTTGAGCTCAGACCCACAGGAGGGTGGGAGGAGGGTATCTGGAAAGGCCCAGAGTCACCTCTGCCAGTATACAGAGCACGGTGGAAAGCATTAAGAGGGCTGGAAAGCACTAGAGAGGACGAAAGTAACAGAAGATGAGACTAAACTCAAGAGTCCAGATCACCTGGGCCGCCTTGATTACCTTTGACTTTTACTTGCGGGACCCACTGAAGAAGCCATTGAAAGATTTGAACAGAGTTGCAACCTCATCAGTGATATGTGTTTACTGGACTCCCGGTTTTCGAATAGCGGAGAGCGGGGCAGGAATGGGAGCTCAAGTCAGGAGGCCGCTGTAGTCCTCAGGAAGGATACTGTGGACCAGGGAGAAATGGGGAGAAGATCTGGAATGTATTTGAGGGTGAAGTTGATGGGAGTTGCTGATGGAGGGCGTGAGAAGAAGAGTTAAACATGAAGGCCAAGTCTTTTGTTCAGACAACAGGAAGAATGGCATGCCTTCAAAGCTGGGGAAGACTTGGAGGGCAGGAGTGGGAGTTTGACTTTTAAATGTGTCCAATTTGCAAATGCCTGGTTGATGTCCTGGAGATGGCTCTGAGAGTCTGGACTTTAGGGCTGACATTTGTTGGCCTATGGGTTCTTAGCCTGCACGTGTCACACAGAGTGAGGATAGAAAAGAGGTCTGAGGGCTGGGCCTGGCACCTGCTGCTCCAGTTGAGAGGTGAGGAAGAACCTGCATGGGAAGCTGAGGAGGAGAGCTGGTGAGTTTGCCACCACGGGTGGCTGTGGGTGCTAGACCTCAGCGTGGGACAGGCTCCTGTTTGGCTGGGCCACTGTAACTGTGAAGCTGGAAGAAATACCTTAGCCAGGATAACAGAGCTCCCTTTGACCTGTTCAGCAGACTGTTGTTGGCTGTCTGATGTGGACAGGCATTAATTTATGGTTGTCTTTCTGGTCTACCCAGGTAGCAGTGCTGGCTCCTTGCTAGACCTTCAGGTACTGTGTAGATTTTTTTCTAAACAAATCTATTCTCTGTTCATTTTTCAGATGCAGGTGTGTTTATCATATACCTGTCCCTCTCGCCAGCTCTTGTCATTAGTTACTTTTAAACAGACAGTCCACTGGGTGCTGGTGCTCTGAGTTATGCCCCACTGTTCTCAGATCCTTGTTACCTAGGATTAGAGGCTTTGTGCAATTTGATTTCTGCTCATCCGTAGAGGATTAAAAACAGTGGTGGTGAACCTTGGCACACATGCCACACTGGGCATGTAGAGCCTGCTCTCTCAAGCATGTGAGCCAGGTTGCCCCAGCATTGCCCCAGCAGCTGAGCATTCAGGTCTAATTGCAGTGTTGGCACTTTTGATAAATAAGTGGGTTTTGGGCTGCAGTTTGGGCATTGATCTCTAAAAGATTCGCCATCATGTGATAGAACATTCTTCCTTTCAACACTTGTGGAAAGCCTGTCCAAGATGCCATTTTTTTTTCCTGCCTTGGAAAGTCGAGTCCAGGGATCAGATTGGAATCTGTCTTTGCCAATTCAGTTCAGCGCATCTCAGAAGCGCATCTCATCTTGACAGGTGCTCTGAAGTTGGGGGTGAGGGATGTGTAGAGGAAGGTAATCATGTGTCTGCCTCATGTGTTTCTGTCCTTAGTCCAGACGTTGGCAAGACCAAACCAGAGAAGGAGGCTGAGTAAAAAAGCAGGACTGATATTGCTGATTTGGCTAGAAAGGCTTTTTTTTAAACTCGTTTTATGTCAGTTCATTTTCATTTGATTTGACCCTGCATCAGTCAGGATGTTTGGCTACAGATGATAGAGGTCATTTTGAACTGACTTACACCAACAAGGCATTTTTTTTAAGTCCAAGAGTAGGCTTTAATCAAAGGGGTAAAGATGTCTATGGGGAGACTGGAGGTGTATATCTCAGTGCTGGAGTGTGTGCTTAGCATATCCGAAACCCTGGCTTCAGTCACCAGCACCAGAATTCAAAACAAACTAAAGATGTCAGTGGGACTGTCTCTGGTTTCTTGCTTTGTCTCATTTTCTGATTCTCGGCTTTGCTCTCTTTTGATTCACTTTGTTTTCAGGCACCAAAAATTATTCCAGAAAAAGATGCTCAGTAGCACCATGATGCTCATTGCATCATGTGCCCACTCCTGGAGCTTGTGCCAGGGTTATGCCAGGGTGGGGCGCTGCACCCGTCTTTTGAACAGGTACTAGTGATTGAGTTTCAGGCTGAGTTGCTGTAACAAAACACCCCAAAACTCAGTGGCTCGAACAAGACGGAAGTGTAACTCTGACATAACGGTCTAACGGTAGGAGGAAGTCCACGGCAGGCTGTGCTCCACAGGGTCAGACAAGGACAGGGAGCTGGTGTATCTGCCTTCTCAGCACGTGATATCCGTCTTCAGCACTGGGCCAATGCTCCGTGTCTCAGGAAGTGGGGAAAGAGCAAGGGGAGCACACCCTTCTTGAGTGGAAGTAGCTTGGCACATTATCACTTCTGTTCACCTTCCGGTGGCAGGAACTTGTGTTGGGCCGGGGATGGTGACAGTCTGACTGTCCAGATTGCACTTGGCGGGGTCTTTCTGTGACTCGTGTCTGTGCTGCCTCTCCTCAAACCTCTAGGTGCGGCTACCGCGGAGGCTACATGGAGGTGATCAACCTGCACCCGGAGATCAAGGGCCAGCTGGTGAAGCTGCTCTCGGTGCGTCTGTGCCCGCCAGTGTCGGGACAGGCCGCCATGGACATCGTCGTGAACCCTCCAGTGCCAGGGGAGGAGTCCTTCGAGCAGTTCCACAGGGTGAGTCTGCTGTGAGACATCTACCTCTGCTGCTGCCGGGCGTCTCCAGATGGCTGCGTGCTGGCCTGGGTGTGTGTGTGGGTGGGCGGTCCATGTGCCTGCCTTCCCTCCAGGGGGTGCTCAGGGTCCTCTTGGTGCCTAAAGCACCCTCACTAGTTGGGTGAAGTCAGAGGATGAGGCAAGACATGTTTTGGAATAGGAGGGCCGTGACTGCATTGGGGTGGGTGTCGCGGAGTGGAGACCCCGGCGGAGGGCCTTGTGCCTGTCGTTCCACTGGAACGAAGGAGGAATGGTGGGGCACAGCGTGGGTTGTGCCTCTGGCCTAACCAGGCATGATCCACTCCGGACCCTGTCAGTTGTGTAACAAAAACCCAGTGCTGCCTAGTTTACATGAACAAAGGACGTAGGGAGCTGGGTGTTGTGGCATGAACCTGTAGCCGCAGCTATGCAGGAGGCCCCAAAGGACCACCTGAGTTAAGCTCAGGAATAGTCTAGGCAGCATAGTGAGACCGTCTCCCCCAAAAAACTATGTAACCTAGAAGTCAGCTGTCAAAAAAAGTCACCATGTCTAAGTCAAGGGTAAACTTGGACTACCCTTGGCAGTAGGTAGTGCCTTTGTTATGCAACCATTTCCACCATCCGTCTCCGACTGAAACTTCATCCTGTCAAATGACGACTCCCTACTCTGCCCTTCTCCCAGCGCCTACTCTGTGTCTCTGAATTCACCTACTTTGGATGCCGTACAGGGGGAATTGGCAGTGTTCTACGTGACTGGTTTATTTCACTCAGCACCTTCCCCCAGGTTCATCGTGCTGTGGTCAGAAGTCCCTTCAGGAAAGAAGGCCGACTCATGTCCTTGCTTACCCATCCCTTTGTAGACATGCACCTCTCATCCCCTGTCCGTGAGGTCCTGGGAGGCTCTGCTCCAGCTTTGGATACTGCCTGTCTCTGAGTTAGCAGGGACTTTGATTGCTCCCCCTGGGCTCTGTGTACCATGGCCTGAGAGCGAGGAGGGCCCCTAGGGCTCATGTCTCCTAGAAGTGTTTCTAGGGTGCTCTGCCTAGGGCCAAGTCCATTCAGAGTCATGTGCGAGGAATGTTCTGTTTTGTGAAATGACATTCTGGGACAAGAATAGACTCCCAGACGACACACAGGCCACCCGTGTGTATTGATGAGCCTCAGGGTGCACGACAGTCTCTTGGGCTGCGAGTTTGTGCCTGTTCGCTGTGCTCACACACACACAACTTGTCCTTGTCAGTCAGTCAGCATGCATGGAAGGAACGGTCTCCTGTGGCGGGGCCAGGCCTCGTCCAGAGATGCTGACCCCTACACTTTCTGTCTTCTCAGGAGAAGGAGTCTGTCCTAGGTAACCTGGCCACAAAAGCGAAGCTAACGGAAGACCTGTTTAACAAAGTCCCAGGAATTCACTGCAACCCCTTGCAGGGCGCCATGTATGCCTTTCCTCGGATCTTCATTCCCACCAAGACTGTGGAAGCAGCTCAGGTCTGGATGCAGCCAGGCTGGGTTCCTCTCCCAGGATTCCCTTGAGACATCTGGGTCAGGTGCTGGCCCTTACCTGGGGGAGCACGGGCGCCGGCTCTCGGGGCTTTAAGCTGTGTAGACCTCATAGCCAGATGCTGCTTACTGTGAAAGAAAAACGACAGGTCCTCAGAGGCCCCAGTTGAGCGAGCAAAGGTGCAGACACGCGGCAGCCCAGGGGAGGTGGCCGTTCTGGGCTCTGTGGCCCTGCCACAGAGGGATGTTCCATGTGATGTCACACTGCTTCCCAGACTCGATCAGGTACCCCAGTTACCTGAAGTCTTGTTAAATGGCATTTCTGGCTCACTGAGCTGCAAGGGACTCAGATTCTGCATTTCTCTTTGAGGATCAAGGGCAAAGCATCATTTCTGCTCCCACCCAGAGCCTCCTGTATACCCTGTTAAATGTTCAGAGCTAGGCCCTGTGCTAGACATTCGGATCCAAGTCCCTGCCGTTGCAGCCTGAGCATCTGCATTTAACAGGCTCCCTGGCGATTGTTGTGCAAAACAATGTGTGAGAAACACTATCAGCAGTGGCCCTAGAGACACTTGTCCCCTGAAAGCCCACTGAGTGCAGACCTCGGGCCTTGTTTTTAGAGCATTCTGTAGCTCAGCTCCTAGGAGGCCACCAACAGGGCTCATCAGCAGCCGCTGGGAGTGGGGCACCGAAACTGGCTGGCACTGCCCAGTGGGGAGCAGCAGCATCGGCGCCCCTGGATGGTCCGAAGGAACCTTCAGTGTCCAGTTCCTGAGCCAGCTACCGACAGCATCTAATTGTGCTGCCCTGGACATCTGGCAGGGGAGGGGAGAGGGGTCCTGCTGTAAGAAAAATAACCTGCCTTTCAGGTTGTGTTTGGCATTTAGTGGTGTGTTTGGACATTACAAAGCTAGGAATGAATCTTAAGTTCTGCCCTGCCCCTGCAGGCCCATAAAATGGCTCCAGACATGTTTTACTGCATGAAGCTCCTGGAAGAGACTGGCATCTGCGTTGTGCCTGGCAGTGGCTTTGGGCAGAGGGAAGGCACCTACCACTTCAGGTATGATGCCTTCTCCAACCAGGGGCCTTCTTGTGGTTTGTCCAGCCTAAACGGAGCATAGGCTGGCTGCAGGACTAAGAGGACAGGAGCCTCTGACCTCCAAGTATGGCTAACCCATCTCACCCTTGTTCTGTCTGCTGCAGAGGCGTGGTCAGCTTCTCTGCCCTGTGAGTTAGGAAAACTGGGTGGGTGCCAAGAGTGTCTCCTCTGAGAGGATTTCTTGGCTATCCTATCTCTTGCCTCTGCTGCCTTCAAGTATCATATCGCGGAGGAAGGTCCCCATCATTGTGTTTACTTATTTTCTGTCTCTAAACTTCATGATAAGAGCACACAGCAGGCATGTGGTAGTTGCACCATGGACTGTGGCCTCTTAGGAGTCTCCGACATTGTACAGTGGAATCAACTGCTCTTCCCAAGAGCCTTTTCCCAGACTCACCCTGGGATACAGATTCCCAGGGCTGCCCACAAAGGCCTAGTGTGTGAAGAATAGCCTCTTCCCCGTGCATAGAGCTCTCAGGTGTCTTCACCTGGATTGTGAGTGGGGCCCTCCTGAGGCACACAACGCATCAGCTCGGTCTGCTCACCTCAGTCAGGGTCGCCTCTGTGACCCAGGCCCACTCCGACATGGTACTGGGATGGGTCATTGTGAGGCCCTGGGTTCCAGCCCTCAAATCGCAAAGAAAGCAGTGTCCTCCCTGAGGAAGCCTGCCTCAGGTGTTAGAGATCTGGTTGTCAGGGCTGGAGGGAGAGCTTGGCTAACCGTGCGACTTAGGCGTGAATGTCTCCAGGAGAGCTGTGAGTGGAGGCTGATTGAAAAACAAAACCCAACTCCCACCCGGCAGGAGTCACATCTCGCCTTGTAGCAGTCATGCTCTAGAAAGTTCTGTGAAAGTCAATTCTAATACGACACAGGCCTTCTTCAGTAATGGGCCAATGTCCGAGTGAGCCTAACTGCTGCCCCCGCCTCTGCCTTACCAGTGGCCATACCTGTAGTCCCAGCTACTTGGGAGACTGAAGCAAGAGGATCGCTGGAGCCAGGGGCAACAGCGAAACCCTGTCAAATGAGTGAATATATCAATGGAGTGAAAGTATTTTAACAAGTTCCAGTTACTGTCCAGGTGCTCAGACTTTCTCGAGGGGCAGGACAAGCCTGTCCTCTTCCCCCACCTCCGTTCCTAGCAGGGCAAGATGAGCAGCTAGGTTCATTCCTTCCACTTTCCTTGAGCAGACAGATTGACGCTGCTCTTTCTCGACAGAATGACCATCCTCCCTCCGGTGGAGAAGCTGAAGACAGTGCTCCAGAAGGTGAAGGACTTTCACATAAAGTTCCTGGAGAAGTATGCCTGAGGATGCTGCAGGCCGAGGGAGACCCCCGGCCTCGGTCCCCCTACTGACTGCCTCAGGCCTCACGGAGGTCGCTGGTCCTGGTCATGTCACGTTGCGCAGGAGACTCCTTTGTGCCTTGATGTTGGGAGCAAATGTGAATTCACAATGTTTCATAGGCCCTGGTTTTGCGATGCAACCAAAGTAGAGAGGATTGCTCAGCAGGTGGGGCTGGAGTTCTCTGAATCATCTGTTGCTGCTGCTTTTGAAAACCCTGTTGGGCTTTAAACAGCCAGGCTGTGTTGGATGTGGTGTTCCAGACCTGGAGAAACAAGCAGGTGTTGGGAAATGTATGATTTAACCACAGTGAGAACTGGAAGCAGAATTTACCAAGATCTATGAAATAAAACCCTTAGGTGGTATGAAAACCTAGTCCTTCGAACAGTAGACCCTGGAATCCAGTAGAGCTGCAGGAAGGGTCCGTCACTTGGCCTGGACATGAGCAGCCGTTCTCAGACAGTGAGGCACCTGGGTAGGAAAGGGTGCTAGGTCAGGTTCCGGTGGCACCGGGGGCTGCAGCCAAGGTCAGGGGTCCCACAGGCAGGATTGGGTTTGAGCCGGGCTGCAGGCCAAACCGGGTCTCCACTTCTGAGCAGCATGGCGGGTATCGAGGATTGTACAGAGCTTCAGAAATGAAGGGTTCTCCTGAACATGCTTAGGCTGAGGCCCTGGTGTGAGATCTCCATGGACTTCAGGGGCCCAGGTTACAGCCCAGCCACCACCCACTCACATGGAGGGCTCTGCCTGGTGGCCTGTGGACCGTGCCCTGGTTACCCAGCGGGAGTTTTCTCTCCAGTGCTCGACTGAGCCGTTCCACACATTGCCCCTTGCTGGTGGCCCCAGGGATAAGATGCGACTGAAAACACCCTCAGCTCATAAGCGGATCCTTATGGAGTTGATCAACTAAGAGCCCAGCCCCCTGTAATTTCATGAAATGTTTCAAACTGAATTTGATCCATTTCATCACTCGTAATCGGTCAGAGCTGGTAGACAGGCTCCAGTGGAGGAGTGAATGCAGTCAGATTCAAAGTTAGTGGTGTTTTGATTTCATGCAAAGTATCCCCCCTTCATATATGCTCCTGCCTCGCCTCCCAGCTCTGCACATGAGGTGAAGTGGCCACAGTCATTTTCTCCAGGGAGGAGGGCGGTGTCCCTGCATTAGCAAACCCGCTACACACGCCCGGAGCCAGTGTTGCAGGTGGCAGCAGGCATTGTACTGTCCTCAGCGGTAGCCCCGGCCCTCTCATCTGCCTTCACCAGTGGGAAGGGAGGGAAGCTGTTTCCAGCTCAGGAGTCTGGGGACCCAGCAGTTGAAGAAGTGGAACTGAAGGAGCTAGAGAGCCTACTGAAGAGACAAAGCAGGAAGGTTGGAAAGCAGCTTCGGGTGCTGATTTCCATTCTGGGTCCGTGCAAGAAAACACACTCGAACTTCAAACTGTCCTAACGAGGATTACTGTCCCTGTGAGAAGATCAGCCACAATCTCAAAATAACAAAAGGGAATGTTTCGGAACCTTTCCTTCCTTAGAAAATGGAAAAAGTTGCACTTGTGCTCACTGTATGGTACAGAAACCAGGATGTGTCCCAGAGCTGTGAGATTTCTGGTGGGAAGGTTAAATAGTACAAGCTAGTATATTTTTTATATTTTTTGTAACAATTGCTTTTTCATGAGGAAATGGGGTTAGTATTTATAGTCTTAATAAGTCCAGTAATTTTTATAAGCCTCTTCCGATTATAAATAACCCCTCAAAACTTTTCCAACGTTTACATGATTTTTAAAGAGATGCCATATACACTTGGTTTGCTTTAAAAAAAAAGTAATAGTAATAATGTCAGCTAGTTTGGGGAGGTTAACCTAAGGTCGGAATGCCAGCCGTGACAGATTTGATTTTCTACAGATTCTGTTCCGATGCCTTTCCTCTTCTAGCATCACCCCAGAAAGTTGCCTTTGGGTGTCTCACCTTAAGGCCACACTTGTGTGCTTTCTGCTGTTTACCCTGCACAGGTGGGTGGTGCCAGAGAGCCTGTGCCTCCTTGTGGCTGGGCAAGCCCTCAGCACACACCTTCAGGCCACACTGCTGGATTTCGTTCTGTAGTCTTCAGTGTCCAGGAAGAGTAAACACACACCGCCCTGGGCTGTTTTCCAATCTGGGTTCTCACAGCCCTCTCCTGACAAAGGTACTGGATGATAGCTCTGCTGGAAAATTTTAACAATAAAATAGATGTCCCAAACGATGACTGTTTAATTATCTTTGTTTAAAGATGGAAGTTGAGTGGCCTAACTTTACATCATCATTCTTGGTAATGTATGTTCTTTTTTGGGGGGTGGTGAACTTGGTCCTTGTGCTTGCAAGGCAGGCGGTGGAACCACTAAGCTAAATCCCCGGCCCTGGCAACGTATGTTCATAGCACAGTAACAAGCATTTCTTCCTAAACACTTCAAACCAGTCGCTGTTTGTCAGCTTCCATGTCCTCATAGGGTTGAAACCTAAGGACCCTGAGCTGTTTTGTGTTTTTTGGTGTTTTGGTGTTTTGTTTTGTTTTTTTGTCTGGGGCAGCAGGGGGTAGAGTTATCTATCACCTGAGGTGCAAAATGTTCATGGATTCTTTGAAATGGGTTGTTAAAATGAACACAGACTGGCTTTCTTGTAGAAGTGCAATAATCTCTTCATGGGGACAGGGAGAGGGCAGGTAGAGGGTTTGCCTTAATTTCTCCACCAAAATTAAATTCTCTTTCTATTGTGCAAAATATACAAAAAAATGACTTAGAGCTATTAGAAATATTTCTGCTTAGGCAGAAAAGAAATGTGTTGCCTCGTCTGTGGGAGGGAAGATGGCTTTACCTCTAATGTTCACTCTGTTAAATGCACGTTCACGCCCTGCACACCCTGGAAGATCCCGAGGGCTGACTGGCTGCTCTGGTCTGTGCGCCCTTCCCTGAGCCAATCTTAGTGGTCAGGATCAAGGATTTGCTGACCAAATGTGTAGACAAAGAGGCAGAGAACGGTGTTGAGATCATCAGACCTATTGAAGGGTTAACCGTGAAAGGAAGGAGAAGCTGCTCCCCGCAGAAAAGGGGGTTGGAGGTGGAGCCCCACCAACAAACCTCATTTGCTGTGGATCCTTTTAGAGAGGGACAAAAGGCAATGGTGTCTACATCTTTCCTCACTGCACACACAACCATGGGAAAACAGACCTTGTCTGGAGGGAGAGTTAGCACCATTCATTGTACAGCAAATCCGTCTGGGAAAAAGAATGTTATTCTAGATTATTTTCAGCATAGAGTGCTGTAGCTATACTAGGAATGTCTTCAGTAGATAGGAACCATGGGCTTCCTGGAGGTGTGGAAAGCTAAGGTTGTCCTCTAGGGGCCTGCAGGTGGGATGGTCACCAGGCAGTTCAGTGTGCTGCACTTGTATGCCATCTTCTTTGTCTCCCCAATTTCAGCTGCCTTTTCTCCAGTTGACCGTCAGAGCATCCTTTGAAGTCCTTTCAAAGACGCGGTACTAAAAGAGAAACTTTAGAAATGAATCCAGTGCCCTTGCCTCACATGTGCAAGGCTCTGATTCAATCTCTGTGGGGTGGGGTTGTGGATCCACACATAGTCCGATAAAAATATCAACCACCTCTTTAAAAGAAATGGGTGCAAGGTCCTGAGTTTGACTCCTGCTACCAAAAGAAAAGGAAAATGGATCCATAATCCTAGTAATACTTAGAACAAGATCAGAGAGCCTCCCAAAGGGGACATTACACGAAAGTGTTAAACTCGGAAAAAAGATTATTAAATATATTGATGTGGAAAAGCTAGAAAGCAAAGGTCAAGGGAAAAATAAGAAATCTGCTGTAATCCTCTAGCCAGAGTTCATCAAACAAGTTCTTCAAATCTGGGAATATATTTTTATTGTCTTTTTTCCTGGTTGTGTGTGTGTGTGTGTGTGTGATGCGTGTAGCTTATAATAATTCCTAGCAAGTAGCTATAGTTGTTGAGCACGTTCCTTGATAATGTTGAAATTGAAGAAGAAAATGCCCCCTTAGCATGCCAGACACATTATGCAAATGAAATTTAGAGGCAGGGAGGACAATTTCCAATACTTTTTTTTTTTTTTTTTGGCAGCACCAGGGATAAAACTCAGGACCTTGTGCTTGTGAGGCAGGCGAGGCACCACTGAGCTAAATCCGCAGCCCACTTTCAATACTTTTGAATATATTCTCCTAACCAGACACACAGGTCATTTTCTTATCAGTGCTTCTGAAATACAAAGTTTATTGTTCTAGTTATACTATCATTGTATAAAGTGTGTCTTAGGGCTGGGGATTTAGCGCAGTGGTTCTGGTACCTGCTTTGCAAATGCAAGGACCTATGTTCAATCCCCAGTACCAAAAAAATAAAAAAAAATTAAAAAATAAAATAAAGTGTGTCTTAAGCCGGCTGTGATGGCACCTGTAATCCCAGTGCTCAGGAGGCTGAAGCAAGAGGATCACCATGATTTTGAGGCCAGCCTAGGCTACCTAGTGAGTTCAAGGCTAGCCTGAATTATATAGTGAGGCCCTATCTCTAACCCCTCCCCACGAAAAGAGAAAAGTGTATCCTGAGTTGGACCTACTTCCTAAGATCTGGTAGTGTAGACATTTGGTTTTGGTACAGGTCCGTCTTGAGGAGTTGGCACCATTGGAAACAGGAATCACTTGCACTCCTTGGTATTTACATGGGGTCAGATCTTCCCCCAAAGATCTTTGTGAGCCTTTAGTCCTTTATGGGTAAGGTTAGCTGCTGATGTCATTTCTAAATTAAAACTTTAAAATACAGTAAACCAAATCTCCCTCTCTCCCTCCCTCCCTTCCTTCCTCCCTTCCTGGAGATTGACCCCAGGGCATTCTACCACTGAGCTATATCCCAGGCCCCCTTTTAAGTGTTTTATTTTGAGATGAGGTCTTGCTTGAACAGACAAGCTTTGAACTTGTGATTCTGCCTGGCATGGTGGCTCACGCCTGTAATCCCAGCACTTGGGAGGCTGAGGCAGCAGGATCGCTGTGAGTTTGAGACCAGCCTGGGCTACATAGTGATTTCCAGGTCAGTCACAACTACATAGTGAGACCCTGTCTCAAAAAAACCAAAGAAAAGAAAAGAAAAAAAAAATGAATTTGTGATTCTCCTGCTTCAGCCTCTAGGATTTCAGATGTGTCACCACACCCAGGTGTCTTTATGATAAATATTGGTTGTCAAGACCCCACTCAAAGAAACAGGATACATAAGTTGATTCTTCTGCTCATACATGACAAAGCCACATACACCCGAGAAGTGCAGAACTTAGTCCAGAAAGTCTACACGTCCACCTTGCCGTGCAGCTGTGTGTGGTCACGCACCTAAGGAGACATAGATCAGTGTCACATGGCAGCTGCTGGGAACTTGAATCTGCCGGTGCCCACTTTTCCCTCTATCTGCTGCCTATGCCGTAGCCACAAGAGGTGATAGCTGTGGGTGTAGACTGGACCCTGCTTCCCCTCAGTAAACGCTATACAGGATTTACCTATTATTTTGTTGTTATGATCACACCCTACTCTGAATGACAAGATCTTTTGGGCTTTTAGAAACATTTGCCTAGAGATAATTTAGTTGTCCCCTCTCTGTTACCGTCATAAGATTCCCCTTTGTAAGTTGCTACAGTTTGGATCCTGAATGTCTCCAAAGGTTTTAAATTAAAGACTGGGTCCCCAGGGTGGTGCTGTTGGGAAGTAGGGGAAACTAAAAGTAGGAGGGGCCTCGTGGAAGTCCCTAGATCCCAGGGGAGGGGCCCTCGTGGGACGACAGCCCCCTCCTTATGCTCTGTTTCTTCCTAACCATGAGGTAATCAGTTTTCACCTCACACACTTGCGGGATGTGCTGCCTTCCAGGCCAGACAGAAAAGCCTGTGCCAGGACTAGAACCTCCAAAACACTGAGCTTAAAGAAGCCCTTTCTTTTTAAAGTTGATTATCTCAGATATTTTGTGATAGCAACAAAAAGCTTATACATAAGGCATCTTCATAAGTGTTGCCAACAATAAGATCTGACATTCAGTCAGCAAACACAGGCAGAGCAGCCATGCCCTAGACATAGGTGATGGGATTGCTGGTGAGCGGGTTCTGGCCTTCAATTTGGCGGGTGGACAACGCCCCTGCTGTTGGTAGGAGGATGAGAGAGCATATAGGCAGTGTCAGGGTTTTACATACACACGCCTACTCTACAAACATGGTAATCTGCCAGGCACGGGGGCGCATGCCTGTAATTCCAGCCCTCTGCCAGACTGAGCCAGGAAGATCCCAAGTTCGGAGCCAGCCTGAGCAATCTAGTGATTTAACAATACCCTGTCTTAAAATATAAAAATTGAAAAGGGGAGCAGGTTGGGAGGAGGTCTCGGTATGAAGGCTCTGGGTTCAATCCCTAGTAGTGAGGAAAAATCAAAACTACAGAAATCGAAATGATCTGGTATTGATGAAAGGACAGCAAAGAAACAGAAGAGAAAAACAAACAAAAAACAGAAGAGCCAGTTGTGATGGTACACACCTGCAATTCCAGCACTCCAAAACAGAAGAGAAAAACAAAAAAAAAACAGAAGAGCCAGTTGTGATGGTACACACCTGCAATTCCAGCACTCCAAGAGGCTGAGGCAGGAGGATCGTGGAGCCTTCAAGGCCAGCCTGGGCTACACAGTGAGCTCAAGGTCAGCCTGAACTGAAACAGGAAACAGTGAGGACCCCGGCATAGCTAACTCTTTCACGTGAAGATAGGAGCAAAAGTGGCTTTTACTGACACTGGCGGCTGAGCGAGTGATTCCTGTCAGTCTTGAGAGCCTTGAATAGAAGTTTGTGCTTCCTTATATACCTCTTGTTACATCTACAAAGTTTAATTCCACTGGAGTTTCGCTGGGAATAGAGCAAACAGGATGTACACAGAGCGGAGCATTGGAGGGGAAGAGCAAAGAGTTCCGGCGGGACTGTCTGAGTCCGTTATGTTCCTTCAGTGACGGAGTACAGAAGCTGTCATGGCTGCTCAGGTGCATTCTACAGAAAGCATAGTCATCTGGTTAACCCATGCTTGCCTAATAACACAGTTGACTCATAGTCGCTCAATTCTGTGTGGAGGGGTGGTCTCCTCCCTCAGAGCTACATAGAACTAACTACATGCTATCTCAAAAGAAAAAGAGAACGAGCCGGACATGGTGGCGCATGCCTGTAATCCCAGCACTCAAGAGG